GGGGGGGGGGGGGGGGGGGGGGGGGGGGAGGTCAATTAGAAGTCGATTTTTGTACGTCCCTGTTTACGTTGTTTGTCTATGTTGCAGATTCAATAAAGACCTTATGGCGTATAACCTAATTTGGAATTACAAGGTTAGTTTAGTAAATGTTAATTTGTTGCTGTAGAATATTCTATTAGAAACGAAGAGAGAAATTTAACCATGGCCTTCAAAACTTTCAGAAACCATATTACTAACCAGAAATAGCCTGCTCCCAGCCTGAATTCCGCCTTAGAAATTTCGTGCTAGGAGCAGGCTATCCAGAAATATCTGGGTTTAGGAATAGGGTTATTATAATAGTTTTGTTTGTGGAAACACCACGTAAATTTATTACTGCAAATTAAAAAAATTAAAAAATAAAAAACACGTAAATTTATTACCACGTAAATTTATTACTTTATTTTTTACGTGGTGTTTCCACAAACAAAATTATTATATGTTTTATCGCCATGCAAACATACAAAGAACTTAATAGGGTTATTATCCAGAAATATATATCCCGAAATATGTGGGTTTTAGTAACAGGGTTATTATTGGGATTAAGGTGGTATATAGAAATTGAGGTTATCGGTATGGAAATGCCCTAATATTTTCTTCTCATTTTGTGTGACAGACGCGAGAGGAATTGCGTGGAGCCCTCGAGTCAGAAATGCGTGCATTTGCAATGGACAAAGACCTGAGTGGGAATTATGTTGTCTCTTGGAACCATCTGGAATTTGAAGTTTTGTATGAGTGTTTATCTGATGAACTAAAAATAGGTAAGTTTTACCAAAGGAAATTTGTTTAACTCTACCGTGTTTGTCGATCTTATCGAAACATGTTGAAATTAACCCCGGTATTCTAACAGCTCACTCACACTCAAAGAGTTGAGGTTTAATCTGATCTTCTCTTGAGTGTCAGTGCTGGTTTTGAATAGCTGGAGGGTTAGTGTCGTACCTTACTATGTGACTACTCACCCTCCAGCTATTGAAAAACTGCACTGACACTCAAGGGAAGCTCACATTGAACCTCCACTCTTTGAGTGCGAGTGAGCTTTTAGAATACAGACGTATATGTTTATTTGCCATTATGTGTATTCAGCTTTCCCATATCATGTAGCTCTATTTTAGGAACAACCATACTTCTTCAAGAGGACGATTGCGCATGCACAGTGGTTTGCGCATGTGCCTTACATTTATCTAATTTTAATCTTGCCTCAGTCGAGATTAGTTATGTGCGAAGGGTGCTTCAAGTTTGAATCCTTCAAATACTCCAGGTTTCCCCCGGCAGTAACATTGGATGAAAAAGAATTGGTTCTTACTGGACTTCCTGAGAGAACAGTCTGGAATTGATAGAACTGGTATTAGACAAAGTTAGGTGTTAGTTTGTTAACACTGGTATGTTTTGTTTAATTTTAATTCTTCTTCAGGGGACTATTATCTGAGAGTTTTGCTGGAACAAAACGAAGAAGAAACGCCAATAACAAATGCGTAAGTTCAGCTTCCTACATCTACCGTTGCGGACAGATTGTCAATATAGTCCGACCCTTCAATTGATAAATTTTAATGCTAACTTGTTTTGTTAAAAGGGTATGAGACTTCTATTTTTATTTTTGAAAAAATCCTTGTTATACAACTTGGGCTTATATTTATTGGGCCATGTTATGATTCGTATTTGCCACACTAGTGTCACCACTTAACATTTGTCTTCATGGGCTTGAACAGCAACTATTTTTTGTGCAATTTCATTTTTGCAGACTTGAGTTCTTTAACGATCTGTATCACAGATTTCTGTTGACAACCAAACCAACGATGAAGGCAATGTGCCTTCAGGTAAGTTGTTGTGCCTAATTTGCTGTAACTGGCTTTCGTCGTGCTCCGGTTCAGTGCACATTGGGGGTGGTTGGGGTGGGGTGAATTAAACAAGAGAATCTTTTGAATTTCATTATTTGCTTCCATCAGCCCTTGTGTTGAAGCCTCGTGGGATTGCTTCAAACCCACCTATACATGCAGGCGTACAGGTTTAGATTTCGCGAAGGAATTAGAATACAAAGTTTTATTTTCACGCTTTATAGGCGATGACAAAAGTTTACGGAAAATGTCATGAAGAGATTGGTGCATTTAATGACACTAAGTATATTGTTGGAATGCTGGACAGGGTATGTTTGTTTGTTTGTTTGTTTGTTTGTTTGTTTGTTTGTTTGTTTGTTTGTTTGTTTGTTTGTTTGTTTGTTTGTTTGTTTGTTTGTTTGTTTGTTTGTTTGTTTGTTTGTTTGTTTGTTTGTTTGTTTGTTTGTTTGTTTGTTTGTTTGTTTGTTTGTTTGTTTGTTTGTTTGTTTGTTTGTTTGTTTGTTTGTTTGTTTGTTTGTTTGATTAATTACAGTACAGTAAGGCACAGTACGGTGCTGTACTGTACAGCACAATACAGCATAGTATGGTACATTATATACAACAGTCATTTATTGAATTAAAAACACACACATACAGCATAACAACAGGCACGAAATATATTGAACGTAATAAGTTTGTTATTAACATACATCTAAATATGTTTTAATTTCTCTCTGCAGACGTCAGATAAATTAGAACGAGATCGCTTGTTATTCTTTTTGAACGACTTAACAAAACATCAGGTAAATCCACTAGTCACTACACCAGGCTCCTTATAGAAGTATAGAAGTAAAGAGCCCGGCTTGCGATGTGCCAACTACACACGCAAAAGTCTCGCATCTTGTAGAAAGTCTGCCAACAAGTTGTCTTTGTACTGCTTATCCCAAGTTGTCAACAAGTTTGGAACAAACTGTTAACAACTTGTAACAACCTTGTTGATATTAGCAGACTTGTTGCAAGGTTGGTCCAACAAGTCCAATACAGTCGTGATATAACAATATTGTTACAACCTTGTGTCGTCAACCTTGTAACATATTTGTTATATCATGACTGTATCAGACTTGTCAGAACAACCTTATAACAAGCCTAATAATGCCATCAAGCTTGTTACAAGTTGTTAACAGCTTGTTCCAAACTTGTTACAACAACTGGGAACAAGCAGTGCGAACACAACTTGTCGACAGCTTGTGAACAGATTTGTAACAACTTGTTTGCAGACCTGTAACAACTTGTGCGTTTTTACTGTGTACACTTGTTTATATCCTGAAAACTTCATACCTTCTTCTATTCTTGCATTTAACATTATTTCCCTTACAGCGAAATGTGAAAGCTTTACTGGATGTAAATGCAATCAAAGGTTTGGTAGAACTTATGACATTATGCCATCTGCACACATCGAGAGCAACCGTCCCTTTGCAGGTAAAATGTCTTTGTTTACCCTTTAAGTTCATCTCTTGTTAACCCTTCAAGAGACGCTGTGCCCTGATGCACATTATTTTGTAATTTTATTCTGACTAATGCCAGACGATTTGACACGTCAAGGGATACGTTCTGTAAGATCTGAAAAGATTTAGAAATAATTTGTGAATATTTTTCTTCAGACTAACCTTCTTGAAGCGGCCCCAGACAGCGGTCTAGGCGGCGAGAAAGAATGGTATTATGGCAACAAGGAGAAAGAACGGCTTGGTCCGTTTAGTTTTGACGAGGTAATATTATCTTAAGGCGGCTCCCTACACTTTTTAACAAAATGGAAATTTTCTGATTTGGATATGAATTTATGTACGATAATTATTTGTTGAAAGACAAAGTTATCTAACTTGAATAGAACAACTAAGGAGTTGGGAACTTACTCCTAACTGCCGTTGCTATGACAGAAATACTTTAGAATCCAATCAGGTATATTACTGGACCATGAGCTTTAGATACACTTATTGAGCACAGTTGATTAAATATCAATGGCGTTTCAATATGGCGGATATTTGGGGTAATTTGGTAAAGTAATTGAACTCGAAAATAAGGTCGGTGATCCCCCATTTTTATATTTCATAAAATGATTTCCTTTAGTATTTGGAATCATTTTCCTGATTTAAAAAAATCTTTGGGTAACCACCATCTGCCATACGATAGTCCTTAGTAAAACTCGCCTGTTTGTAGCTGTGTATGAATTTCAAATTAAACCAGATCATCTTTGAGATCATGATCATATTTTCCACCAAATACCACCTGTAGATGAAAGATTTTGGGGAAGAAGAAGCGATCAATCCTTCAACTCGATGCTGGTGTCAAGGCATGGATGGATGGCGGCCATTACAACATATCCCTCAACTGAAATGGTTCCTTCTTGCTGAGGGGACACCTCTCATGAATGAAACTGATATGGCTGTTCTTATCCTAAATATGTTGATCAGAATATGCTCGTATTATCCTAACAGGTGAATGAAAGTTGATATTTCAAACTACGAATACGACCAATTGGAAAAGAGGTTTTATACCTTAAAGTGCGACTAACCCAAAGTATATTTTTTGGTATCTGTAATATTTGGGTCATTCTAAGAAGAAATGTAATGTATCTTTACAGTAAAAAACCTCATCTTGATCAACTTTTTCGCTGTTAAGTTTTCCGGATATGATGTCATTTGGTGAATTTTTGGTACAAAACACAAAGGAAAACTAAAATTTGCAATTCACCAAATGACATCATATCCGGAAACTTTGACAGTGAAAAAGTTGAACAAGATGGGTTTTTTTTATTATAAAGATGTATTACATTTCTTCTTCGAATGACCCAAATATTACACGTACCAAAATTTAATTTTAGGTTCTATAAAACACTCGATTTATCAATCTGTAACTTGAATTTGCAGAGACTTTGATGGAGCTATTGTTCGTCCTCTACCCCGAGCAAAACGGATGTTATCCGAAGCATCATGTCTCCCGCATATTGTCCAGGTAAACGTTCATATATTTTCACGAATCTTTGTACAACACAAACTTTTTCTCAAACTGATTCTGAATTGTTTCCTTTATAGTTGTTACTTACATTTGATCCAATCATCGTGGAAAAAGTGTCGGTGCTTCTTAACGACATTTTATTGGTACGTTTTATATTTTCGAGTATGTCTGTAGAAGGTCTCTGTAGATGTAAATGTTGGATGCAATATTGCAGTGATAAGTAGTTTGTGATTTGTTATTGCCATTCCATTTTAGGACAATCCAGTTATACCCAGATTGTATCTTACTGGTGTGTTCTACTTTATCATGATGTACACTGGATCTAATCTCTTACCCATTGGAAAGTGAGTTTATATAGGCAGTGTTTAACACAATTGCCATCCTCTCAGACTTACAATCTATTTTAATTTCTTTAGGTTTCTGTCCGAAACTCACATGAAACAATCATTTCGCTCTGAACAGGTATTGTTTTCATTCTAGAGTCATAGGTACTATTTAAAAAACGAGTTGCTATACAGTTTTGCCACTGTTGTTTTCTAATTTTACCGTAATAGCTTATCTACTTAATCTACTGATTTGCCAGTGTTATTGCCTACAAGCTAACTATAGATTGCCACTTTGGTTTATCTATCTCTGTATTATTATCTTTCCTGTAGAACCAAGGTGGGGAAATATCACAGCGAAGTATCCTGGGCTCAATTCTTCCTGAAGCCATGATCTGTTACTTAGAGAACCACGGTAAAATACATGCCTTGTTTAATTCATATTCCCTATACTACCAGCCTGTGTCACAGACCTTGCTACACAAGTAAGGTCTATGAAGTTTGGCGTGATTGCTTGTTCCTAAGCCCTTCCTCTAGAAGTTAGTCATTGATTTCACTCATAGTCTTTCAGAACATGGTTTGGAAACTCCGGTAAAGTCTTTGTTCTATCTTTTTGTTCGCGTTTATGCAGGTTTGTGCACGGTGCACGGTCAATGAACACATTGTATTTCAGTATAATGAACGAATCATCCAATAGCAACGTTTCAGTTCAGTCATTCAACCATGCTATTTAAATATTAATAAACCTAAAACAAAGGATGTGCACGGTGTAAGGTACGGCTCAACATAAACACACAGCTCATTATAACCGCTTTGAAGTTTACTGAGTCCAGACCATGTCTCGAAAGATTATGTTTCACTCGAAGGGCAAGTTCTTTCTGTATTTTCCAGATACACACGTAAAAACGTACAAGTTGCTACAGATATGCAAACAGGTTGTTACAAATCTGTTCACAATGCTTGCAATGCTTGTTCCCTACATGTTCTAACACGGTTGATGGCATTATTAGACTTGTTACAAGGTTGTCCTAATTAAGTCTGATACAGTCATGATACAAGGTTGACGACACAAGGTTGTAACAATATTGTTATATCATGACTGTATCGGCCTTGTAATGGAACAACCTTGCAACAAGTCTGATAATATTCAACAAGGTTCTTACAAGTTGTGCACAGCTTGTTCCAAACTTGTTCACAACTTAGGACAAGCAGTGCGAACACAACAGACTTGCTACAAGATGTGAGATTTTGCATGTGTAGTTGAATCTTCTACAGTGCTCACAGTAAAATTGTCATGTATATAGTAATGTGCCGTTCACCATCGTTTCTGTTTTGTTAGGTTGTGATAAGTTCTCCTCCATCTTTTTGGGTGAGTTTGACACTCCTGAGGCAATTTGGAGCAGCGAAATGAGGTTTGTTCTAACCCTTGCATTCTTTTAATTACATCATGGCCGGATTTTGAGGGGAGGTGTGCACCTCCCCTGAGATCGTTTTGCACCTCCCCTGAAAAGTGATGCACCTCCCCTTGGGAGAGTTTCAATGATAGATCAAAGTGAGAACTTGATGGTTGCTTAGGGTCTACACTTCGTAAGAAAGTTTTTTCTGTAAAATTCAAACAGTGATAGCATTCATCTCTGTGTCAAAAACCCTTTTAATGCAATGTTTTAAAAGAAACTTTGTAGCAATTGTAATGAAGGGCAAAATTGGACGAGTCATACAGTCATAATTCATCAATACACTGATACATATGTACACTACATGCATACGTCTCGTCGTTGACTTTGTCCCTCCATGGGGGTCGTGAGCTAGACCGCTGCACCTCGCCTAAATTTATTTCCACCTCCCCCACTATTTCCACCAGAATCCGCCCTTGAATTACATCGACGAGAAAGACAGTCTGTAGAACTTTTACTCCGCAATATTTCAGGCGATTCATGATTGGAAAGATTGCATCGCATCTCGCTGATTTCTCACCTCGGCTTCGCAGCAACACCAAGGCGTTATATCAGGTTGGAAATTGTATCAAAACTTCTATTCATGTTTTATATGATCCAGGTCTCGAAATAGCGGCCTGCCAATGGCCAAACCAAGGCCATATTCAGAAATGGCAGGCGAAAAAAAATTTGACCTGCCAAGTCGAAAGTAAAATGGCAGGCGAAATTCTACAAAAACAAAATGGCGTCCAATGGTTTGGGGACACAATCGATTTGCAGTTTGCTATTTTCGGTTAACGGTTTGCCATAACGTCAATCTTAGGGTCCCTAATAGTTAAATAAAACAGTTGCAGTGAGTAGGGAAAATACATAATTGATTGATATGCATGAAGAAAATTAACATTTAATCTTTATGTTCAGTACCGGAGTTAGACCATTTTGGCAGTTCAACAATAGAAATGGCCGTTCAACAATAGAAATGGCAGACCATAATTTATTTGACTTGCCAAAAAAATAGTTTGACAGGCTATATGTTTTTCCTATTTCGAGACCAGGGAAAATTGAAGAAAAAAAGCAATCATCGTGGACAGCAAATAACGTAGTTAATATTTTATATAACTTATATTTATTTCTTTAGTATTGTCCTATTCCCGTGATCTCTTATCCTCAACTGGAGTACGAACTGTTCTGCAATATTTACTACCTACGTCATCTCTGTGATACACAACGCTTTCCTGATTGGCCCATCAAAGAACCGGTAAGTTGACACAGGCTTTGCATTGCAATTACTGTAGCTGATTAGCTGATTATGTCTGTCGCTAATACAACTATATCCCTTCTACCGAAGTTGCCTCAATGAATGTTTTCCCGTTTTTCAAGGTGAAATTTCTCAAAGAACTACTGGAAGCTTGGAAATCTGAAGTTGAGAAAAAACCGCCAGATCTTTCAGTAGAACAAGCTCTGAAGATCTTAAATTTGAAGAAAAAACCTGAAGAGTAAGAATCAATTTCTACAAGCCTAAGAAAATTAGCAGTTAGGAATGCAGGGGTTGCACCAAATGTATGTTGCAAATCTGTGCTAGCCTGCTACATTGGTAAATGAATGTAATCCCGAACATATTGGTTCGCGTAAATTTATGCACTTTAATCTGTCTTGCATTCAGGTACGATGAAGCAAAGATTCGTAAAGCTTACTTCCGAATGGCTCAGAAATACCATCCGGATAAAAACCCTGAAGGACGGGTTGGTATCTTTATTTATACTGGATAGCTTTATCGGTTGTAACAGTTGTATACCTTTCTTCCTGAAGAACTAGTAAGAAATTTCCCTTGTTGATCCAGTGTTTCTACAGGGGGAAACCTGAACTAAACTAACTTTATTTATACTGGATAGCTCGATCGGTTCTAAAGTGTTCTTCTCTTCTTCTCTTATTGTTCATCTCTTATTGATTCAGTGTTACTACAGGAGGAAACCTATACTAAACTAACTTCATTTATACTGGATAGCTCTATCAGTATTTTTAGATCAGTGTTCTAATCTGTTCTCCCTAGAGGTCCAGCAAGGATCATCTGTTATTGATCCAATGTTACAACAGGTGGAAACTTATGCTAAACTAACTTCATTTATATTGGATAGCTCTATCTGATCTAAAATGTTCGAGTCTAGAGGTCGAGTAAGGATCGTCTCTTATTGCTCCAGTGTTACAACAGGAGGAATTCGAAGTATCCGAAGAAAACATAGTATGTTTGCTAGAGTCAAACTGGCAGCAATCTTCTCACATGTGACTGAGGTGAAATTCTAATCAGACAATTGCATGCTGCAGTAATCGAACGCAAGTCCCAGAAGTGAAAAGCACGCATGCACTGACCATGCAATGTGGTACCAGTCGTTTATTTCTTCATTTTTACTTCACTGTTTTGTTCTGTATATTGCTGAAGTCCATTGTATTATTTCCCAGGACATTTTCGAGCAAGTGAGCAAGGCATATGACTTCCTGTGTTCACGATCATCACGTAAAGTACTTGGGCCTGATCCAAGAAACATCATCTTGATCCTGAGAGCACAATCCATTTTGTTCAGTCGCTGCAAAGAAGGTTTGCAAAATAATTTATGTGCATTAAGTTAAAACAGGCTTCAGTAAATACCATTTAAATCGCTTTATTAAACCAAACTGGTAAAAGTGGTTGTAGGTATAGGGTAATAACAAGACAATAACCACAGTAAATAACAACAATTAATGCTTTTCATGCAACAAACGTGCGGATTTACATTTTACACAAATTGACTTCATGTCTGCAGTCATCAATGTCATAAACAGTTCTTAAATAATCAGACTATATCAAGGTATTTCAAAACTACTTAACCCTGTATGCGAATCTCATTCTAGTATTGGAACCATACAAGTATTCTGGCTATCCAATGTTGATTAAAACTATCCAAATGGAGATAGAGGACGCTAAAGCGTTTAGCAAAGAAACCGCGTTGCTTCCCTCTGCGTGTGAATTATGTTATCATACTGTGAACACTTCTGCTTTGAATGCCGAGGAATTGAGGAGAGAAAACGGCATCGAGGTGTGTTGTACTGCTTGATTTTCTTTGTTTGCTCTACGTTTTCAATTTCTTTATTTACCTTATATTATTATACTACACCATGTCATATACCATACGACAGCAAACCATACCATACCATACCATACCTCACTAATGAACATTACATACCATACCATACCATACTATACCAAACCATACCAAACCATACCAAACCATACCAAATCATACCATACCATACCATACCATACCATACCATACCATACCATACCATACGACAGCAAACCATACCATGGCATGCCATAACACACCATACCTCACTAATGAACATACCATACCATACCATACCATACTATACCAAACCACACCAAACCATACCAAATCATACCATACCATACCATACGACAGCAAACCATACCATGGCATGCCATAACACACCATACCTCACTAATGAACATACCATACCATACCATACGACAGCAAACCATACCATGGCATGCCATAACACACCGTACCTCACTAATGAACATACCATACCATACCATACCATACTATACCAAACCACACCAAACCATACCAAATCATACCATACCATACCATACCATACCATACCATACCATACCATACCATACCATACCATACCATACGACAGCAAACCATACCATGGCATGCCATAACACACCATACCTCACTAATGAACATACCATACCATACCATACCATACTATACCAAACCACACCAAACCATACCAAATCATACCATACCATACCATACGACAGCAAACCATACCATGGCATGCCATAACACACCATACCTCACTAATGAACATACCATACCATACCATACGACAGCAAACCATACCATGGCATGCCATAACACACCGTACCTCACTAATGAACATACCATACCATACCATACCATACTATACCAAACCACACCAAACCATACCAAATCATACCATACCATACCATACCATACCATACCATACCATACCATACCATACCATACCATACCATACGACAGCAAACCATACCATGGCATGCCATAACACACCATACCTCACTAATGAACATACCATACCATACCATACCATACTATACCAAACCACACCAAACCATACCAAATCATACCATACCATACCATACGACAGCAAACCATACCATGGCATGCCATAACACACCATACCTCACTAATGAACATACCATACCATACCATACGACAGCAAACCATACCATGGCATGCCATAACACACCGTACCTCACTAATGAACATACCATACCATACCATACCATACTATACCAAACCACACCAAACCATACCAAATCATACCATACCATACCATACCATACCATACCATACCATACCATACCATACCATACCATACCATACGACAGCAAACCATACCATGGCATGCCATAACACACCATACCTCACTAATGAACATACCATACCATACTATACCATACCATACCATACCATACCATACCATACCATACCATACCATGCCATACAATAATACCATGCATGATAATATTCTATAGCATACCATACCATATCATGCTGTATATCATACCACATGTACCATGCCATAGCATACCACACCATACCTTAACTTACCATACAACATCATACCACACCATATCGAATAATACTAAACCATACCATACCATGTCATAAAATAGCATATTATTTTATGGCATTCCATACATTACACATTACCTCACCTTGCCTTATCTTTAGTTACTTTTTTAAATTTGCTCTAAAGTTTTCTATGTATTCCTCACAGATATTACAAGCTGCCTTGTCTCGAGCCATCGATCTTATTGGAAGCTCAAGTAAACCTGGTGATATACCTGTGCAGGTTTGAGCGTAAACTTAACATATCTTATCAAAATGTTAACTGTAAATTCATTTTGTCTTTGAACCTTCGTGAACTTTCGGGATGTCGTTGTTCTGACAGGTTTGTTGTCATATCGTTCACTGTTATGCTGTGGCGTCCCAGTTTGAAAAATGTCGTGAAAAGATAGCAGAGATGCAGATCATCGTTCAGGAGTTATGCAGATTGTTATATTATAAGGTTAGTTTGATGCTATTTCTGTTGTTTCTGAACCATGTTTATTGGACCAATATGTTGACATATCATTGCAGTCAGCAACCGTGACAGACATGGTCGCTACAGCCCGCAATTAAATTGAAATGATAGGTTTTATTACAGACGGACACACTCCCAAAATATCTCAGATACAATGCAGTATTCTGTTTCATAGTCGCATCGACCCTTATCATGTTTCCTTTGCAGAATTTGCCTGGCATGTGTATCCTTAGTTCAGAATGCGTCAGTAACTTTGCAGTGGATTTCTGGCTGCAGACACATTTACTACAGGTAAGATAACAGCAGATGATGTTTGTGATGTTACTCTGAGTGTGCATCCACACCGGGCAAGCTAAAAAAAATGCCTGACTACGGTGGGAATTGAGCCCACGACCTTTGAAATACTAGTCCAATGCTCTACACGAGGTCAAGTTGGTTCGAGTTGGTGATATTTCGGAACTGAGTCTAGTTCCTTCGATATCAATGTATTCTAAGATATGAAGATTTTTCTGTGTATTGGTGTTATGTACTCAGGTGAATATGATGTTTGTAGTGTTACTAACATCACAAACATCATATTCACCTGAGTACATACCACCAACAACACACAAAAATCATAACAGCAGATGTTTAGTACTGATACCAGCTATTTCTTGTAAATATGCTGATCGGTCTTTTTCTCCAGTTTAAATAAAGTCATTATTATTATTATACAACAATCCAGTATAAAAAGAGTTAGTTTAATTAGTAGTCTTGTTTATTTTTTGACCAGACCGATGCGTTTTTCTGTTTCTAGGCTGGCGTGTTATGGCATCTGTTGCTGTTCATGTTCAATTACGATTACACTTTAGAAGAAGGAGGAGTAGAGTCTTCTGCAGAAACAAACCAACAGGTACCCTTACTTCTGTGATCACAGTAGAAAATTGCTGGGTAAATTCTACGTTTTGAATGATTTGTAAGAAATTTTTGAGGGAAATGGCTCATTTTACAAATCCTTCAAAACTTAGAATTTACCCATGCAAAATTCCTACTGTGATCACAGAAACTTTGATAGTGTAAACCAGCTTTTACATTTCATCTCATTTCACAAACCAAGTCCTCGTTCCTTTCAAATGCTCAGGAGCCGGTTGTTCAAAGCTGGGGTCGGTACGAAGCTCTAGGAAGATGTTCTGTGATTGGTTGATTATGACAATGACAAAAGAATAAGCTATAGAGTGGGTTTTCTAAACAACGAAGCAAGAACAATATTCCTTTTGTTTATGTAAGCCAATGGACCATTTGCATTATAGAATAAAGTTTGATCTAGACCAAAATTTCATCACAGCTTGAAAGAGCATCACAAAATTAGTAATATTCCAAAGTTTCGTTGGGAAATGTTGTAAAATGCGGATAATATAGCCTTGCGAAATTTGCAATTTTCAGTCATTTTGTATTACAAACGGGAAATTGTTGCCCCAACACCCGATTGGGCTGTCAATTTACCGTGCGTAATACAAAATGACTGAAAAACGGCGAACTTCGCATGGCTATATTATCCGCATTTTACAACATTTCGCAACGAAACTTTGGAATATTACTAATTTTGTGATGCTCTTTCAAGCTGTTTTGAAATTTTTGTCTAGATCAATATTTAGTCTATAATGCAAATGGTCCATTACGTCTTTTGTCATTGTCATAATCAAGCTTACTGCAAAGCTGGATTAGCGCTAACCCTGGGCCAAAATTTAATCCGCTGTTTTGGTTTGGCTGCATCGATCTGCACTTCTGTTCATTTCAAAACTTTGGAAAATAAAACTTCTATTGGTCCAGTCATGAATTGTGGAAAACTGTCTTCATGTTTCTAAACAGGCTGTTAGGAAGATTGCTTTGAGATTTTCGTTAACCTAAGATTAAGTGGCCCCTGTTGTTAGTTTCAATCGTGGTTCAATTATAAAGCAGCTACGTGAAACATATATTCTTCATTCCTTATTGAATTTAGCCGTAAAAACTATCCATAATAAGTTTAAAAGAAACCAGAAACTATTGTACGTAGAATCAACGACTGAGATGTAATTGCAAATGAACCAAAATGGCGCCCAATGACACTGAGTGATGTCATGTAAAAGTAAGATTTGTTTATTAATAACTGCTGTGTATTTTCAGGAAATTGCAAACGAGTTGGCACGGAAGTCTGTCCGAGCTGTCGCCCGTCTGGGTGGATATCTAGGTAACTATCTTTCATTCTAGTTTCGTATTATTCTGAGACTGTAGAGAATGAAAGATTGGTTGTCTCAAGCGGGATGCCAACTTGCATCTTTGGGTTTTTAGACCGCCATTCTACCCATTGAGCTATCATTTGTTCAACCAACCATGCATATCATCATTTAACTACTATACATGTGTATTCCACTCTCTTGCCGTAAATTTTTAAACAAATGAAGTGTTATTTGTAAGCTTAGAGTGGGCTGTTCAAATATAATCTTTCAAATAAGAGAGAAAGTAAGATTTGTTTAAAATTTGTAATTGGTTATAGAAGGTGAAGATGAGACGCCTGAAAATCCTGCTACTAAGAAATCTTTGGACGCCATGTTGACTCCTTATCTCGCACGAAAACTTCATAATTCGACACCGCAAGAGGTCAGTGATTTAGACCCCGTTCACACGATACCGGCAGAGTTTGAAAACGGTACGAAATTCGTACGTTTAGGGATTGCGTTCACACGATACCGGCAGAGTTTGAAAACGGTACGAAATTCTTACGTTTAGGGATTGCGTTCACACGATGCCGATATGAAAAAATGTGAAACCGTAACGCTAACCATAAGAGTTCGAAAACGGAACGAAATTCTACCGTCAGAGTGCCGTGTGAACGCCTAACCGTAAGAATTCATTACGGTTATGCAAAATAAAATTAACAAAACTGCAAAAGTTGTTGTTGGATATTTTATTCTGTCTATTTTAACTGATTTGTGCAGCATATTGTCAAAGCGGAATATAATCTGCCGATATCGTGTGAACAGTTGAAACCGTGATGATTTTCTGCCGGCAGAATTCCATGCCGGTATCGTGTGAACGGGATCTTAGTAACATAATCATAACAATGGCCGACTTATCACAATAGATCTAATCAACGAGTGCTTTTCCCTTTGCCGCCCAGTTCACTCACATGTATTATTAATAGATAATTTAAATGATTGATGACCTTTGTTTCATGCTATGCTTACATTAGGGATTCTTAGCTACCAGGACGGAGACGACTATTGATACAATGAAATTTAAGACAGTTTGGAAAAAAATTAAGTACCTCGGGAGTTTTAGACGACTTGGTCCTCGCTGACACTTACAACGGCAAAACAAAGATTTTTATCTACTGTATGCAACCCCAGCGTTTGAAGCCGTGAGAAGGTGTACTTGGAAAATTGGCTTAGTAGAAGCCTTATATAAACCTCTAAACAATGGATAAAAGTGAATTGGGTGGGATCGGGTATTGACGTATTTGTCCTCTTCTGTTTAGTTGCTAAAGCTTCTCAATAGCAACACAGAGAACCCAAACTTGATCTGGGACAATGGAACAAGAGGAGAAATAATGAAGTATTTGGGAGAAGAACAGGAAAGAAAAATATCTACGGTAAATATGGGAGAAAGGGAGGGAGGGAGGAGGCAAGGGCAGGAGGGGAAGGGATGCCAGAGAAGGAGGGGGAAGGAGGGGGCAGGAGACCAGGGAAGGAGGGGGCAGGAAAATAAATAAAGTAGGAAGGTAGGGAGAGAAAGAGGGAAACAAAAGAAGAACCATGATAGAAAGGAGAGAAAGAAGTCATCTAAATTATTTCTTTGTATTTAGGGAGAGTGTGATCCCTCATTTGGAGCTGACTTTGTATTCAGTGTTTTTGAAAAAGAATTGATTATTGGCGAGATATTTGTTCGCGTTTACAATGATCAGCCGTCCTATCCACTTGAGGTATAAAAATGTTATAAAGATTACATTCCAATAGACTTACAAGGACAGCGCCAGCAAGTAACGATCCAGTGATCTGAAAGTTCCATTGTCTTTTCATTGTTTTGAAAATCCCACTTTTCTCCATGTCATCCAGTCATGATCCAGTGAACTAAATGTTCCATTGTCTTTTCATTGTTTTGGAAATCTCTCTGTTCTCCATGCCATCCTGTCACTCGATGTTTTGACATATGTGAGGTATGCAAAAGGCTCGTTCCCGTTAACTCTACGTACGCTGTTATCTTCTTACAGAATCCAAAGAAATTTGCTTCTGATTTGCTTAACTTTATCGGTAATCAAGCTCAGGTGAGGATTTCGGAGTGAATAATAAGCCCAAGTCTTTCATTTAGTAGCAGAAAGGTGAACATTGTTTATTATCATTGTATAGTATCTTCACTCCTTGCTACAACTGCAAGCAGCATCACAGGATACAACGGAATCTGGAACACAACATCAGAGATTTGAACATGTCGCAATGGCCTTGGAAGCTCTCAGAAATGTAATCAAAGCTTCACCAGGTAATCAGCGCTTTATCAAAAGTTCTCCAATATATAAATTAATTTTTCATATTTGTCTAGGAGGATGGATTGGGATTTTTTTTAAATATTGCCTCATCTCATTTTATTCAGGCGTTGAAGAGAAATGTATAGGACAATTCAAGTTAATATTTTCGTTACTGCGCATGTCTGAAGCGACAAAGCTGCAGCAACTTGCTTTAGAGGTAAGCAGACTATACTAGCTTAACTTCATTCATACTGGATAGCTCTATCAGTTCTAAAGCTGTTCTCCCGTAGAGGTCCAGTAACTCATCTCATCGTGACCTAGTCCTTTCCAAGTGAACCAGTGTTACTACAGAAGGAAATCTGAACTAAACTAATTTTATTTACTGTATACTGAAAAGCTCTATCAGTTCTAAACTGTTCTCCCTTAGAGATCCAGTAACGGTCATCTCTTACTGATCCAGTGTTACTACAGAAGGAAACCTGAACTAAAGTAACTTTATTTATACTGGATAGCTCTATCACTTCCAAACTGTTCTGTCATGAAGTCCAGCAAAGCCTTCCCGTTTTGATCAGATGTAAGTTCAGGGGTAAAAACAGGAATACCACGTTTTCAATATTTTCCGCTCTAGGTAATCAGCAACGTTACTGGTAACAAGAACTGTGTGTCAGATATTGCGGACTCTAATGTCATATCCTATCTCCTGCTCACCTTATACACACTCCCCTCATGTAAGTAAATACGTACAATATTGAGGATACTACCTTGAAGCAGTGGTAGTGGGAAAATGAAGGCAGAGTCAGATTCTATGCCGTAGCTCATAGTTGATTCCAATCTCCAGCTATAAGATCAAACTAGAACAAACTGCAACGATCCAAAAATTTTGGATTTTAATATGACATCTGAACGAGTGGATAAGTTATGAATGTTCAGATGAGAGTAGATGGGCTTCGAACATTCGTAACTCGTTTACTCGTCGTTCACATCCGTCAGAAGGAGAAAATTGCACTAGAAATCGCAGCAAAAATTGCAAATGTAAACGGGCCTTTAGGAACAGATCAAAACTGGTGCATGTTCGTACAATTATTCTTGTGTTTCTGTCTTCTAGGTCGTCCTCTGGTCACTGAAACACTAC